CGGATACACAAACAGAGCAGGATTTCCCAATAGATATGTGAGAATTAGGATCTTATGAAGATATTATAAATATATATCATGAATTCCTGATTTGAAATTTCTTTCTTTCTCTTTATTCGAAGTGATTCTAAATTGAATAATATTTTGAATCTTTATCATGAATATTAAATCTAGAATGAATTTCTTTCTCTCTATTATAAAGTCCATGAAATAGAAGGATTTTCTAAAATATATTTATAATATGAAAATATTTTTTGAAATTTCGATATTCCTATAATCGAAGAGGAGAGATATTAGATTCTGAAATTACTATTTTCGTCCGCTCATTATCCCTGAGATTATCTCCAAAGATTATTTGGAAGACCCACCCCCAGATATTATATCTAGAAATTTCGTGGAATGCCTAAATCTAGAGATTATCAAGATTTTCTCGAATGCTCATTCCCGGAGATTATCATGGCATTCCCTGGGGAGCCAAAATCCAGAGATTACCATGAGATATACCATGAGATTCCCTGGAATAGCTAATCAGAGATTATTATAAGACTCGTAGAATACCTATTCCTGGAGATTACCATAAGATTCTTTAGAATATTTAATCTCAAGAGAGTTATCGAGAGATTAGCTAGAAAATTCAATCTAGAGAATCCACGACCTTAATCCCAGTCGGCAAAGAGATTTCATGGGTCATCGACTGATCTAATATGAATATTTGAAGATCTTATGAGTTTTTAATGACTTCCCTATAATTTAAATATAATATTATAGATATTATGGTTTTATAAGATAGAATAGAATCTATTTAATTTCTATATATTAATAAATCTCCATATCATCTTCATTTCTCATATTCTAGATATTATAGATTAATTTTTTTTCTATTAATTTCTAATGAAAAAATCATTTAAAATATCTCATTTTTATATATAAGTTTTGAGATAATAATCATATTATCTTTAATCATATTAATTTTATCATTATATTTTTTTCCTTATCTTTACCTTTTATCTTATTCATTTTATATTTATATTTTTCTTAATTTTTACTATTTTCATTAGAAAACATTATTATTGATCTTGGTGATATCTTATCGTTATCATTTTTTGATATTATTCTCGATATCAATGTTCAACGAAAAAATTTCGTTCTTCCTATCGAATATCTTTAAAATTGAGTCTCATTTTAAAGATTTTCTGATTTAGAATCATCAAAGATTTTTCAACTTCAATTATATAAAAAGATTCATTTGAAATCGAGATATCATTATTGAATATCATAATTATGATTTTCGATTCGAGAGTAGTTTTATCTATAATCTTCGTATTTATATGAGAATTTTTTATGAATGATATTCTGATCAATAAAAATATAGCGAAAAATATTGAACGACAAATATTATCATCAATTATTGCTGCTACTATTGCTACCACCACCACCGCCACCAACACGAAAATATACAGCAAATGATACCATCCCGCACACAAACCATTCCTAGAAGAAAGAAGATTAATCAACGCTCAGGTGTACATGTGTCGAAACAACCTTAATAGATAGAAAATGGATGGAAATGGAGAAAGACATGAAACAGAAACTCTACAAAAGACAAAACTTGGGAATAGATAATGTAGTTTTTATTGTTATAGTTTGTATATGATAGGGAGAGACAGAGAGAGAGAGAAAGAGAGAGAGAGAGAGAAAGCTAAAGAAATAAAAAGACATAATACCGTTATTACCCGAAATAAAGGCAGACACTCGATAGGGACATAGACTAATTGAGATAGATAGAAGGACATACATAAATAGAGATAGATAGAGAATTATACAACCAATGTAAAAGATATAGATCGAAAAAAAGTATGAATAGAAAATACGATCAAATAATTCAGATAGATAAACTAACAAGCTAGACTACCAGCAATAGCAAGTTGTGTAGTGTCAATAGTAGCCGTCATCGTCGAAAATTCCGTCGAGTATATAAGCCTGTTTTTTCACTACGATCTTTAATTGAAATATTGTGTGGGCTTGCTGTTGACAGGCTGCGGAACTCGTGGGTCTATTCCATTCTCCTGTTTCTGCAAGCAATTGCCACAGGGTCCCATGTATGTGCAAGTTAGTCGGAGCAAATGTCGCGGATGGCTCAGTGGACCATCCGAGTGAAAAAGTGCACCCAACAGGATGACAGTGAAATCCAGAAGTGAGTCTGCAACGGAACACTGCAACACGTCTGTGTATACACAAGCTTAACCAACACTTTTGGATTTCACGAGATTCTGCCGGGGGTAGCAAATTTTTAGGGTTCAACGAGCTGATGCTTGGGTCGGTAGGGATGGCGATGAGTAGCAGGTAGCAGGATATTCGGTTCCCCGTGGCAAGTCAAGGTCTCTATACGTCCTTTGTTTCAAAGGGAAAAATGCTCACACCCGAAACTGGACATCATGGCTGTGAACTTCCCATCTGCTTTGGAACAGCCTGACATGTTGGCATCGGCCAGTCCAGTTTCGGGAATCAAGAACAATTCCTTTGACATGTTCTCTCTCGTTCTCTCTCGCTCTGACTCTCTCTCTCTCTCTCTCTCTCGCTCTCAGTATGCACGCATTCTAGGTGCTTCGATGCCCACAACATAACAAAACAGCAGCTTGACGGTCGAACTAGGTCCTTGGGATGGGTGTAGCAAATAGCAGAACCACATCGACAGCAACTCAGGATTCCAGCGTGGGGCATCTGAGTGGGTGCGCTAGCGCACCCCGCCAAGTTTGCGGGGCACCTTCGCCGTTTCGGTGTCTCTTGGGATACTGTGACACACACAGCGAGGGTGTAAAGGAATGGAAAACGAAGCCTCGC